ATCAATTATAATGCGACCGCTAAATTACACTGAGTAGGCGATTAGGCGGTGAAGACTACATACGTATCGACTTGTATGCTCCGCCCTGAGGGCGTTGTAGGCGAGTAGGCGAGTAGGCGAGTAGGCGAGTAGGCGAGTAGGCGATTAGGCGAGTAGGCGATTAGGCTATTAATCATCATCTACGATTGTGGAGCGGTAGATCTTCGGTGACTTTTTTGTTGAGAACCTCCATACTTTACTTTTATTTGTTTCATAATCGTCTCTTAAAGTATCTATATGGTTCTAGTAAGGATTTCTATAGGAGACAAAACATATGACAGATAAACATAACAATAACCTAAAAAGGACCATTAAAACACACAAACATTCGTACACAGTAATAGGAAGTAAAAAACAATAATGAAGATTTCGAATCTGCCGTAGTTTTCACATAAGAGACCGAAGTATTTGATCCACCTGAAAAAGAAGACTGGTCATCGGACGTGAGGCGTTCATCTTTCAGTTTCAAATGACTGATCGTCAACCGATGGACCTGCTGGAGGCCGTAGAGGCATTGCAGGAATTACACGAGCGCTACCGTGAGGTCGCGCACGCATATTCCCAGCGAAACTTCCCCAGGAGATTTATCTTTTTGAAAGAGAATATGACAATTCCTACTTTGTAATAAATATGGATGCTGTTGTAAAAAGACCGTATCAACTTTTAGTTAAAATTCATTATGTCTGCACAAGGCACACGTGAAAAACGACCCAACACCAATGAGAATCTAAATCGACCATGAACATCCACACAAATGGATTGAACTCACCTGAGCTGCGCTAATGATGAATTAACATTAACCTCGTCCCTCGCACTTATTCTTAGACGAGTCTTACTTGACGTGGCATAAGCGTGTCACTCAGATAAGAGACGATACCACACTGATATAAAATCTTTTATCAGGACCACAGCCACGTCTGCCACGTAGCAAACCGTGCTGCAGAAGAGCACACATTACTGAATTCAGCAAGAAAGAAGTACTTA